CATGACCTGAGCCGAAGGCAGACGCTTAACGACTGAGCCACCCAGGTGCCCCTCTGTGTTCATATTCTTGAAGCAAAACTCTATTTCCTGGTTTCCGGGAGTCAACTTTAAATCATTGGAAGCACTGCTAGCAGGGACAGTGGGTGAGGTCATTTTCCCAAGACAGTGGAGGCCCCCCTTCCCCTGCCCCAGAGCTGCTCTGTGGCCCTGGGAGCTTCTCGCACCCTGGGGAGCTCTGCCACTTGCCGGGGTGCAGCCCGCAGGCGGGCCAGGCTCTGCTGCCAGGCCCCATACCCTGAAAACACGGTGGGCTCCTCCCTGCACCACCGGGGACCTAGCAGAGGCCACGGACACCTCAAATATGCCAAAAACAGGTCCAGAGACGTGTGCCTGCCAGCCTTTCAAGTTCAAGGGGTGGGGTGGGGGGAACGGGAGCCTGTGGCTGGGTAAAGCCTCTCCTGTTCCCGATGCTCTGGCTGGGCTCTGACCCTGCCGCTCCTCACACCTCCTCTCTGGGCCCTGCCTGAGCTCTGCCCTTTTTCCTCTCCCTAGAGGGTGTCAGGAGGCCCCTGAAGGCTCAGAATCACCAGGGAAGTTTTGGGAGAGCACAGATCACTGGGTGTGGTTCCTGCTGTCTTGATGGCGAGGGTCTGGGGCAGGGGCCGGGAATGTGCATTTCTTAGAAGCTCCGGGGGGATTCTGATCAGTGGCCAGGCCGGAGTGAGGGCAGGGAAGGCGGGGAGAGCCGACTGCTGGCCCCCATTCTATGTGCCGTCTGTATAGAGACTCATGAAAGCCAGAGAGTGTCCCTTGGTGCTCTGAGCCACCCTCCCTCATCTGATGGGGAGGGCATGGCCCACATCACCCCCACGCAGGAAGCTCGATAGGGGGACTCACACTGTCCTCCACCCCGGAGCTGGCGCTGTGTCCTGTAAGCCTACGAAAGTGGGCAGAAGTCCCTGTGGACGTCGAGGGGAGCCGGAGCCTCCTGGGATTTTCCAGACGCAGACTGAGAATCTGGCTCTCACTCAAATACTTACAGGAAAGTAACAGTAAGTCACAGATTTGGGACTTCTCAGGACATGAAATGTAAACTGTTTATGTTATGGCGCAATCAGCGGCTGGCAGCTGAATGCATCTGTGGTTCTTCTGCTTTTTACGGAGTCAGAGCTCATGCAAATGCAGGTCTGATGAAGGTCCCCTCCTGACACATCCCAGGATGCAGAGAGCGTCCAGCCCCTCCATAATCGGACAGTGATGGTGACAAGAGAGCCAAGAGGCGCTGCTTTTTAGCAGACGCTGCTACATGCAGAGTGACCCCCTGCACAGTCTCTGACACTGCACAGCGGCCTGTGAGCTGCAGAGTTTTATTCCTATTTTAGGGGTGAAGAGAGAGGCTCAGAGAGCCGGCGAGCTGCCCAGTGTCCCAGGCGGGGTGGGAGCCGCGCCCAGGCCTTGTAGCCCCGAGGCTCCCGCTGCCTCGCCTTCCTGTCGGCTGAGTCAACTCACAACCCCCCACCCGTCATTCCCAGACCCACCGAGCTCTGAAAACCAAAAGCTGTTTTTGGAACTCATCTGGCGGCAAAGCCTGGCCCGTGTTGGGCTAATTTGGCAGCTAATCCTGAGCGCAACTGACGTCAAACTATTTAGCGTGAATAGTGCTCGGTTTTGCTGCAGAAATGCTAATGTAGTTTGGTCGGAGATTGCTGCCCCGACCCTGCTGGGGATGTGACCTAATGGTCAACGTATTCCCACAGCCGAAAAATGCTGAGTTCTTCAATGGACCTGGCCTTGGGGGCTGCAGATAAGAGATGGGGCACCTGTAATTCCGGCAGCTAAAGTCTGTTTCTTCCTCTGTTTTCCAGCGGCCTCGAGGGGCTTAGGAGGCAAAGCTCTGTGTACACTGAGTCTGGCAGGAACAAGGGCAAAGGTCACCTGAAGGATCAGGTGGAGTCTATGTTATCGGCCCCTGAGCTGGGTTTGTCCCTCCTTCACACACCCATCTTGGCTCTAAGATCTGCAAGCTCAGGAGCAAAGAGTTCCCGTGGAGATGCGTCGGGGACAGCCCCCCTCGAGAAAGGCACAGAACACTCAGGATGATGACAGCAGGTCCCACACCAGCTGGGGTCAGGGGTCATTGTTATGTGAAGACTGAACGTAAGATTCAAGATTTTCAGCCTCCTCACACCGTACCCTCTGGTGCTCGGAGGCCACCCCGTGTACCGCCCGTCCCAACCGCGAAGGATACGTGTGAGCAAAAGCGTGCGAAGGAGCGACTGGAGTCAATCTCCTCACTTTGTGTCCGAAAGGACCGAGACCCACACAAGCACGCCACCTTCCCTGGGTCAGACTGGTCGGGGAGAGAGCCGGGCCAGACCCAGCGCTGGTATCACGGCCAAAGGTGGCAGAAATAAAGCCTCTTTAGAAACACGTCAGGACACCTTCCAGGCCAGCTGCCTAAAGGGTTAGGCCTCTGATCGGGGGAAACGGCCACATGCAGGCGTCTGCTTCGGCAGACCTGCCCAGGGCCCGCGTCTCCCCGGTCTTGCGACCCCTGCCCACCCCTCCTCCTGCAGCTGTTGGGTCATGGAGAAGCTGGGCTCACAGTCACCAGGTGGCAGCCGGGGGAGGGGGGGCTGTCTGGTCTAGAAGGGACTCCCGCGTTCTTGCAGGAGGCAGTCTTTCCAAGGGCACGTCCAGCCCGGCTTAGAGGATGGATGTATCCCGTGTCCCACACCCGTATGCCTGTTTACGTGGTGAACGATCTAGTCTCACTGGAGATGGCTCAGAAGCTACATCATTATACGTTTTCTCAACCACAGACCTCAAAGTCCTACGGAATGGAGACGGGGTCTGTGATAGATGTGGGTGCTGAGAAGAGGCCCCGGCAGGAGGCAGTTGGGTGGTTGTCCGGCTCACAGTGACGTCCCAATGTGCGTGTCTGGGCTTTGACCTTCCCGAACGAACTTCAGGAAGTGATCCTTCTCTACGTGTCCTTGTCCGTGGGCTGAATGGCCTGTCCTTCATTAAACAGTGATTGGCTAATCAGAATCCTCCCTGGGACTCTCTGCACTGCATGCAGAAGAGCAGTTTTCTTTATGGGGCAAAGCTGGGCGGCCGGCTGTGTGTCCTGAGTGGGCAGGGCCCAGAGACCCAGCCAAGAGCACCTGTGAGGGGAGAAGACCATCCTGCAGAAAGACAGGAGAGACAGGAGCGTAAGAGTGGAGGGTCACATGACACGTAAGCCTGGCCTCCTGGCTCCTGCTAAGCCCTCGACATGATCTCTGCGAGAGAGCACTGAATCAAAATGCCATCCTTCCTCCTGCTGCCTGCTCTGTTTATTGTTTATGTGACATTATTATTTTTTAATGGGGATGTATTTTAGTGAGTTAGAATTATTGACAAAAAGGCAATGCTGCAGGGTCCTTTCTTTTTAAGTTTCCTGTGTGATATGAAGTAGCGATGTGTGTTGGTTTCCCAGGAAACCAGAGAAGGACAGCAGGTGATTGGATGTGGTGGCAGTTTCTAAAGGTGCACAGATGCCTGGCGAGCAGCTAATAGAGATAATCTCAACACTTTCGGTATTATATTTGCAAGATGAAAGAGTCAAATATTAACAGGGAATTAATTAGATATGAGGTCTAAGTTGGTTGGAGCAGGAGAGGTTTTGAAAACAGTTTTTATCATGAGATTCGAATAGTAGTCCTGATACGCAGTTGTGTGAAAACCCGGTGACAGACCCTCTTATTCCGAACCGGAGAA